TTTTAGTTAACAAATAGAAACTTCCAGTTGATTAAACTGATGTATTAAATAAACAATGGCAGCGTTCAGAAACTGCGACAGTTGCGTCAACAATGGTTGAGTAATTCGTCGCTTAAAATATGTGGGATATTGTCTGGAAACTGAGAACAGCAATCTTAAGATCATACGAAAAATTTACGCAAGTTAAGTAAAGGCGGAAATGCATCAGCGAAACACACGATACACACACTTATGTACATGTGTTTTATTAATTTTTATTTGCAAATCAAAGTAACTTAAAAAATCTGAGAACTTGAGAATTTCTCAAATTGCCCGAATATTTACACAGCATTAATAATTATTAGGTATAAAAATTAATTCTCGGCCATTTTTCAATAAATCCAATTGCAGTCATTATCTGTAAAGATAGTTCTACATTTGACATATAAATTTGATTATTTTAAAGGACGGCAACGTTCCAAATAATACAAATAACACAAACGTCTACAAAATAAAAAATCGATTCGGAGACAAGTTCTAAACGAGGAACGCAGAAAAGTAAGGCGCAGAAGGAAGAGGACTGCGTGTGTTTTAGACAATAAATTCTAATATTCTTGCGATATTCATGATTATCATATGTATATTATTCATAGATTTCCAGTAATGTGTTATTCTACAATGTTCTACAATGAGCGACAATAAAATGGGAGAGAGAGAGAGAGAGAGAGAGAGAGAGAGGGAGAGAGAGAAAGAGAGAGAGAGAGGGAGAGAGAGAGAGAGAGAGAGAATGCGGATAAATTGAGGAACATGGAGAAGAGGGATAAAGAAAAACACAGAATAGCGGTAGTGCAAATTGTAACGCAGGAAAAGTTATTGTTACGTAATGCAAATAGTGATCGGCGGAGGGGGAGGAGGTGAGGGAGAAAGTACATTGAAACAGTCACATCGAAAATATTAATATTTACCTTACCGCTAAAAAATATTTGCCACTCAAATTTGTGTATAAACCTTTTTCATGCATTTAATTTCCATTCTAATTCTATTGTACTGTATTTTCTTTATATATGTAATGCAAAATTGAATGTATAATTTTGAGCAATGAAACATTATTCTGAAATTTTACGCTTTTGCGGTGTGGACAAATATTCGATGTGGATTTCGAGTTGGCGTCGCTTGTTTCAAGAATTTTTATCCGACGTTTCGTGAAACAGTTTCACGTCGATCCTTACCTTGAAGAGGTGAACATTACGTAACTGAAACATTACGTAACGATCAGGTGTTACCGTTTGATCTGATACAAGGNTTGATACAAGGAGCTCATAATAAGTACTCCATGTTCATTTCACCGTATGCGGCAGAATAGGTTCTTACTATGTTAAGTTTTAGTGTTGAAGTCGTCAGTTGCTCATGATTCACACACGATTTTTTTACTTAGAATTATCATAGAAGAATATCATAGTAAATCAATTTTTCGTTGTCTGTCACGATTTGCTACAAAAAACTTTTTCTTCATTGTCTCGTCAATAGTGCAAGATGCAAGACAAGTGCCAAAAAATTGTATATAATTCTTGTCAGCAAACTGATGAGACTTTCCCTGCTTTCCTTTCTTTCGGATTCTTCTCATTACATGCCATCAGTTGGATTATGTGGCTATAAAATTATGTGGCTTTTTAAACATAAATTATTTTTTTAAGTAATTCTGCGTGTAAAAAAATCAAATAAAATAATAGAGAATCGCATATTTTATAAGACAATTTATATTTCATTGTGGTGTTACACATCATAAATGATATATAATATCTATTTTATTTGATGCACACTTTTATACATTTGATTCCCACTTTTCTTACTATCTTGTGTGTTACTTCTGCGAAGTATAAGCGACAATAAAATATACTAAAGAAAGAGAGAGAGACAGAGAGAGAACGAATGTGGATGAGAATTAACAGGAAATGTAGTCAGTGGAATAAAGAAAATTTGTATAATGAAACGATGATTAGTAAAATGAATATAAATTAGAATTTGATTTGCATTATGTTAATCATATCAAAATCCATACATAAATGTCCATCGATAAGTTTCGTTAGCATTTACGTTGTAATCGTCCTCTTAACAGGACATGTCAATCAAGCATTCAGAGGTTTGTACTCGCTGCTGTTAAGAAATGATAATAAATGTATAATTGAAATTGTTATGAAATTTTATTTTAACAATTCGAAAGCTAGGAAAACATCAACGTAGTTTTCGCATTTTTATTTATTATCAATCTAAGTTCTTAATATATGTCTCAAATGCAAAATTTGTATGCAAAATAAAATTGCAAGTTCATTTGATGCCCATTTTGACCGTTATACTCATCCTGCCGGAAAAATTTGAAAATCCTTCTCCTTCTGGTTTTAATCAATTTATAATTATTTTAGCGAGCCTGCAGTATGGAAAGTAGCAAACGGTGCAATCCATATGTGAAAGTCCTTCCAGAGGAGGAAATTGTGATCTCTGGTATTTCAGGACGGTTTCCAAATTCTGATAATATGAAACAACTAGAAGAAAATCTTTTGAATAAAATGGACCTAGGTTCCGATGATAATCGACGATGGAGTCCTGGTAATATACAACTACTATTCGCATAAAATTTCAAAAGTGAAAATATTAATCCTCTCCTGTTTTTTTGAGAAATTCAATCGATTATATACAAAGTATAATAAAGGAAATGTCCGGAATTTTAACAGTTCATTACGATATGCCGACTCGATCGGGACTTATTAACCATGAACAGAAGTTCGACGCGCAATTTTTCAACATGACATCTTCTGAAGCGCACGCCACTGATCCTATGTGCAGGATGTTGCTTGAACATACCTACGAAGCGATTATTGATGCCGGTGTAAATCCTAAAGAATTAAGAGGAACAAAAACTGGTGTCATCATAGGATCATGTTACTCTGCGACAAGAAACATAATTACCTTTTACAGACCTGATGTAAAATATTTAACGATATTAAAAATATTTAAGGAAGATATTTCGGTCGGTTGAATATTTCATAAACTAAGCATTTTATATGATAATAATGTTACAAGTATAAAATATTTTTAAACAACTTTCATTTAAACTTTATCGACGGTATATAAACGGTTATGTAGTGGAAATATTCGGCCATCCTGGGATTTTTTATATACGCACGCAATACAGAGAGAAAGATACTGGAGAAAAATTTACATGATATCGCATCTTTTTTTGCGATTAGGCAGCTGGATACACATTTGTTGGATGTAGTCAATACTTCTTAGCCAACAGCATTTCTAACTGGCTTGGCCTTAATGGACCATCTTATGCCTTGGATACGGCTTGCAGTTCAAGCCACTACGCCATGGCGGAAGCTTACAGAATGATACGAAGTGGAGAATGCGACGCGGCTATCGTGGGGGGCGCCAACATGTGTCTGCATCCTTACATTTCGCTTCAATTTTTTCAACTCGGTAAAGTTATACTTGAACCTCTTTGTTCATTTGCATCTTAACATTATAACAGTAAGAACTCTTGACATTGTTGTTATTATCAATCAATTCAACAATTTAA